TTGGCAAGACTTCCCAACCAAGAATAAATTGGCATGGTATGTTACAGTCAACAGATTACACAATGGTTTACAGGGTCACCAATAATAAGGGGTCACACACTCCTTAAAAAGATACACCATACATGAAGGCACTTGCTTAAAGGGAAAGAGCAATGCTTGATCCTGAGCTTCTTGGAGCACATCCTGGCAGCCACAGCACAAACATGCTGCAGGGGTAGGACAGGACAGAAGGCATTTCTCCCCCTGAGCCAGGAAGGGCAGTGACTATGCCACACAAGCTGGCTGGGGGAGTTTAGCACCCTGAAGGGAGCAGCAGAAAGCCAGGCCAGGCAGGGCTGTCTTATTTCTGCACACAAGAGGAGAACACATGCTACATCCTTCTAGGAGCAGGACAGCTTCCATGCCCCAGTGAAACCCAGCACCACCATCCCTGTCAACCTTTCCCAAAAGCCCCTTTCCTCACTCCATACTCTTGAGGAAACTGGTTCCACCCCAGAAACAAGATATCAGTTCCATGTCAGTCTCGTCACCATTAGCAGTGCACATACTGTAGCTAATTTTAAAAGGTGCTTGACTATACTCCTGGGTAACTCAATAAAGACATCACCATTGCTATAAATGTGTTACAGCTTTATTTTAAATAACTAATCTTAAAGAAAGAGGGAAATGAATAGTCAAACCCATAAATCTTACTCTTACATGTCAAGTTGGTAACAGATTTCCACTATGTCACCTGCATAACCTGATCACCACAATGAAAATTAAATTTTGGTGCTCCTAAAACATAAATGATTTCCTCAAACCTCACCTTAAATGCATGATACTCCTACCTTTGTCCTGTTAACTTACCCTTCCACTATATGGAAATTTTAATCCACCAACTATAAATTAATCATGTATAAACAAAACATTCTTAAGTCTTAAAGGCAAATCAACCTTATTTCAATTCATCCTATCATCAAAAACCAGACTACAATAGTTTCATCCTTCATCTTCCATGGGTTTTGATCACACCAATTCTATTGGATTATTTAATATATGCCTGAGGTTAAGTCCAACTAGCCAGCATAAAAATGAAAGAAAACCTATTCCCCAAGTCAGTACAGGGTGTAGAAAACGCTACTACTGACATACTCCATCCAGTAATACTATGCACCCGGCTTCATTCAGCCTGACTACTAAATTCGAAGTACATTTGAGTGATAAAGCTGGAGTAAACACAAGAAGGCTCTCTAATATGTAACCGCTACTCTTTGATTGCAGTGACCTTAGTAACGCAAACGTTTGGTACCAAGCCAAGAGCAGGACATCTGATTTTCCCACCAAGTGAACTGCGGCAGAACTCCCTTAGCTCTTCAGCCAAATCTGTCCTGGGATCCTAAAGTCTTCCGCCGGAGTCCAGGTGGCTCCTCTGCACTTTTCAGCACGCACACAAACACCGCAGCCGGCCGGACCGACGATGCGAGTGGGCATTGGAAGGGAAGCGCAGCAGCTCCCCGTCTCCCCCAGCTCAGAGCCCCACGCTCGGCGCGCTGGCTCCCCAGCCGGATTGGAGTTACCCCGTCCGGCCGAAGTGGTCCCGCGGGCTCTGTCCCTCCGCGGGCCTGTCCCTCCGCGGTGCCCCTGCCCTCGCCACCCCCGCAAAAAGCAGCGTCCCGCGAGGCACGGCGGTGGCACCGGTGCGGGAGCGCCAGTGTTCCCGCTCCGCCCGTGCGCAAGGACCCCCGCCCATCTGCGCTCCCCCGGGGCAGGGCAGGGCAGGGCAAGGTCCCGCAAGGATGGCGGGGCCGGCCCGCACCGGCACGGCCTCCGGCGGCTCCGCTGCCGCGGGGGCTCCGCGGTCCGGGGAGCCGCAGCTCCCGGCGAGCCCCCGCCGCCCGCCGCCGCCGCGCATCCCCGGCCCGCCCCGCTCGCGGGAAGCTCTCGGCGCGCAGGGACGGCCACCCGGAGCACAAGCAATCGTTTGTCCCCCCAGTCGCCCTCCCCTGCCCGGGTCCCCGGAGGCGACCACCGCCCGGCAGCGCGCCTCCCCGGCCCTTACCGAGGTGCGCAGGGATGCGCTCCCTCCGCCGGCCGCCTGCAGCCCCCGTCCCGCAGCCCGGGCGATTGTAGCTTTTTTGGAGAAGCTGGGAAGAGGGAAAGAAAGGGGGGAGGGAAGGGGGTGGGAAGGGACTGAGATCGAGGGAGAGAGAAGTATGCAAAGGCAGGAAGTGGAGACGGCCACGACCAGTGCGGGAGATTAATGGGAACCAGTCACCCGGCAGCCAACAAAGAAACCTGCTCCCCCAGCGCCGCGCAGCCCGGCCCGGGCTGCAGCCCCGGGCTGCCGAGCACCGCTCTCGCCGGCAGCTCTCGCCCCTGCCCCGGCACCGCGGAGGGGTGGGCACCGCCTCCCCCAGCCCCAAGCCCGGGTCCCGGACAGGCGGGAGGGAGGGGAGCAGTCAGGCAGGGCCGGGGAGATGCGATGGGCACAGGAGGAGGAGAGGACCGATCTCCCTGAGTGACAGCCTTCCTCCTCGCTCTAGCCCGGAGGGGCGATACCGCTCGGTTTTTATTTAAAACACTCCGAGCGCTGGGCTCCTCTCGGGGTAGAGCCGCTTGCGGGGCAGAGCGGAAGGAAGGAGGAGTGCGGGAGGCGCGCTTCCTGCGCCAGGCGCGGGGCAGACGGCTCCCAGCAGGGAGCTGCGGACCAGGGAGCTGCCGCGCCTTTCGGAGCACTAACAGCACCTGCGGAGGCCGAGGGAGGCAGCGGCGTGCCTCTGAACTTCGTGCCGGGTACCTCGGTTCCGATGCAGCCCCCCGGAGCAGCTCCTGGCAGCAATGTGGAATGCCCAGCTCCCTGGGCAGCGCAGCCCGAGGTGTCCCGCTCGCTGGCATGGCCCAGCCAGGACCCCCAGGGCATCGCGCGTACCCGGGGGAAGAAAGCCCCTGCATGGCACATTGTGTGCGCTGGCCGCCAACAGCATTGTGCGGGCCACCTCCCTGACACACTGGCTTCTGATGGTTTGGCAGATGAGAAACCCACCCAAAAGGTTTGATATGAAATAATACAGAAGAGGCGGGATGCTAGCTCTTGGCAGGACCATGAGTACTGCAAAATTGCTCCTAGATCCTAAAGTGTTATGTAGGCATTAATAAAACAAGTCACTTCACAATAGATTAACCAAATGATTCTAGATACAGAAGAAAAATAAAGAGCAGCATGTATTCTGCAATTTTAAACACAAATTCCAGCACTACACGTTTTTGGAACTTTTAAGCACTTGCTGACTTTCTTTCCTTTGAAATGGAAGAAAATAGCATCAGGTAAATGCTTATGAGTTTTCTTACTCAAGGATACTTCCCTGAGCCCAGAAGCAAGTGGTCAGGATAAACTATTCCTGACTTTTGCCACCTCACCAGTAAAATGAAATTCATTGTTCTCAGGAGAAACTATTCCTGGCTTTTGCCACCTCACCAGCAAAATGAAATACATTGTCTTCAGATATTCTGATCCATCAACCCACACAACAAGGAATCTGGTGGAAATGCCCAGCATTTCACAAACCTCCATTATATTTCAAAAGAATGAATGTACAGGAAATAAGGGTAACTCTCATCTGGATTCTGATGTGAATGTGTGTTTCAAAGCAAAAGCTATTTCAGCTGTCAGCCTTCTTGGGACAGATGTATTTACTCAGCTGCAAAAGGAGTACTGTGTCACCAAACATCAAAAAATGGTGGGAGTTTAAATTTCAACACAACAGGAGTAATTTTCCTCCTGAACAACAAGCTACTGCGACAAGTACCTGGCAGGAATAAAAAATGAAAGCAATTTTCTCTGTGTGTTATGAAAACGACATAGGAAGGCCTTTCCAAGTCTATTTCACAAGAGCAGCAACATAGCAAACCCACTCACCTCTGCAGGAGACCATTGCTAACAAGGCATGATGCAAAGATGTTCAACTTCCAATTAAGCAGGAAGCGGTCTGTTCTGGCTGCTTCTCCACCACATCAAACACACTAACATTGCTTTTATCAAATATTATTTTTCTCTCCCACTTTATGTTGCATTCAGTTTCCCAGACCTCAAGCACTCCAGCAACTTGCCTAAATTTTCTTTTGAGTGCAGGAGACCAAACTTAAAAGTTAAGCTGGATTTGAACACTGAATGGGGGCTTTCAATGTCTTAATGAACAAGCAGCCTGTGAAGGGCTTGTTTATTTCGAGGGCTGGCTGCTGCTCTGCTTAAGCAACTGGGAGATGACAATAAAATGTAAACTAGGAGAGGATTATTTTTCATGCTTGTCAAAAAGATTACAGCTAGCAAAGCTCTCAACAAGAATGAAGGACTTGAAGGATCAGGGTGTCCATGTTAACCTTGGCCATATGGGACGTAAAGAAAGTTTTTATGCTTATTTTTCCTTACTACTTTCACCTCGGTGCACACGGGGTTAGCGAAGGCTCAAAGCGGCTCTGCTCCCACGTAGCCACCGCCACTTCCCAAGCCACTCCGGTAACTCCTAGCGGTGACGGCGGCCTGGCGCTGCCCTCCTGGGACAGACCCCGCTCCCGCGGACGGAACCGGCTCGTTCGGCGAGCGCTGCTCGAGGGGCCCGAGCGGCTCCGGGACCCACACCGCGCCACGCGGCCGGCCATCGCCCCCTACTGGCACCGTGAGCTCGAGCCGCCAAACTTTAACCAGAAGGCGGCGGGAGCACCGCTTCCCCCTTGAGCCCACGGGGCACGGCGGGGCTCGCACCTCCGCCTTTCACGGGCTCTTCCCCGCTGTCGCACAGCGGCGACACCGGGGGAGCAGCATCCGGGGGCACCTCACTGACCCTTTCGGGGAAAGCCTGTCCGGACGCGCCTCTCCTGCGTTACCGCAGGGCAGGGCGCGGGCGTAAGGCTCAAACAAAGCCCCCGAGCCCTCGGCGGGGCTGGATCCCGGCGGGAGCCGCCCCGGTGCCCCCCGGGCCGGGCTGAGGGCGGGGCCGGGGCGGTGGCGCCCCCCGGCGGGGCGGGGCGGCGGCGCGTGCGCAGTGCGCAGTGCGGCGGCGGCGCGGTGCGGGATGGAGGTGGCGCGCGCGGGGCGCTCGGCGGGCATGGCGCGCGATGTGCTGCAGCGGGCGCGGCGGCGCTCGGCGGGCGCGTTCCCGGCGCCGGTCAGTGCCGTGCGCGCACCCGCGGGACACGCGCACAGATACGGACAGAGACCGGGAGATGCACGGAGATGCACGGAGATACATCTCCGTAAGGGCCGCGGGCCCGCCCGGACACGCCGCCGCACTGAGCTAGCCACCCCGGCCGGTGCCCCCGGGATGGCCCCCGGGCTCCGCGGCTCCGTGCCCGCCAGCCCGTGGCTCTGAGCGCCGGGCGGCACGCTGAGTGACCAGGAATGTCTCTCGTTGCAGGACCGAGACCGGGAACGCCTCAATGCAGCGTTCGCTTCGATTTTGAATTTGATGAGAGAAGTCTCAAAGGAGTGCGAGGTGAGGGATCGCCCCGGGCCCGTCTAAAGGGGAACGCTCATGATGTGCCTGCCAGAGGCCTCGCTACTTTTACTGCAAAAATGAGCCTTCAGTGCTCCTTGTATGGCAAGGGTTCAGCCAGTGAGCCTGTGGTGCCGGCCGGGATGAAATTTGGGGCATTGAGCATCATGTGGCAGGGTACATGTCACCGGTGCTGTCCTGGCCGGCTGAGCTGGTTCCACCGGCTGATAAACACCACTACCTGCATTTTCTATAGACACTGCCGGTACAGATTTTAGCAGAAGGTTTCTCCATTTCTTGGTGGAAAAGCAGTATGGTTAGAGAGACAGAAATGTGTCAGGTGGCATCATAAAATACATTGTGTCACAAGGTATGGAATGTTTCCAGTGCTCCAAAGTATCTCTGCTGGGAAATGGCCTTATGACATAGGAACCTTTTTTGTTATTGGGGGAACGTGAGCCACTCCTGCTGGCTGATATCCTGTTCTGGGTGCCGGAAATAAGGGAGAGTTTGAATCTCAAGTGCAGAGATGCTTTGTGTCCTGTGTTTGTTTTGAATTTAGTGTTGCTGTTGTGATTTAATCCCACCAGCAACTAAGTGCCATACAGCTCACTCCCTCCCGGTCCTCCTCCCCTGGCAGGATGGGGAGGAGAATCCGGAGAAAATAAAACTCGTGGGTTGAGATAAGAACAGTTTATTAATTGAAACAAAGTAAAATATTATAATATCAATGATAATAACAATAATAATTGTAATGAAAAGGGGAGAGAGAAATAAAACCCGAGAAGAACAAGTCATTCATAGTACAGTTGATCACCATTCGCTGACCAGTGCCCAGGCAACTCTCCGTGTTTATACACATGACATTCCATGGTATGGAATTTCCTTTTGGCTAGCTTGGGTCAGCTGTCACAATCCTGCTCCCTCCCAGCTTTTTGTGCAGCTCCCCACTGGCAGAGCATGAGAACAGTCCTTGGCTTAGGGTAGCACTACTCAACAATAACCAAAACACCAGTTTGTTATCGACACTGTACTCTACTAACTCCAAAACTCAGCACTCTTCCAGCTACTAGGAGGAAAACTTGCTCTATCCCAGACAAAACCAGGCCAAACTGGATTTGGGATGCTGCTGCTGGGTAAGGAGCATGGGCTCAGCTCTCTGTGTGTGCTGAGCAGGAATTGAGAGGTTTGTGTGCAGGTGCTCAGCTCCACTGTTCTCGTGCTGGCTCTGGCTGGCAGGTGCCATTGCTCTGCTGGGTGGGCACACTGGAGCCAACCTCTGCCAGCCCATCCCTGTGAGCACAGCCCTGCAGCCCAGCTACTGCACTGAACTCTGGGAATTCCATTCAGTTTGTGCCCTTAGGGATCTGTTATCCTAACTCAGCAGGGAGCTCACTGCCTGCAGGGCTAATACAGAGCCCAAATCTGCAATTAAATTAGAGAAAACAGTACTCCGGCACACCAAGTGATTAGCTCTTAAGCAGCTCCTTTATAATTTCAAAGCACTACATACACAGTAAGCAGTTAATCCTAGAACAACTGGGGCAGAGTAGAGTTTTACACAAGACAAAACAAAGTGTAGTAATCCTCATCCTTACCAGTGACTTGGCAGTGCTAGGTTTACAGTTGGACTCTATGATCCTAAGGGTGTCTTCCAACCTAAATTATTTTTTGGGTCTATCTTGTGTCCCGTTAAGAGTATTAAAGTTGGAACAAGCAATGCATGACTTCCACATTTATGCATCAGCCAAGACAGTACTGCTTCAGTCATTTCTGTAGAGAAGAAGAGTCATAAAAGGGGGGAAATGTCAGACCCATGGGTAAATTTTACAAAGTGCAAATAAAAATCCACAGCTGAACACAACCATTTAGGGACTTGAATGCAAACAATTAAACTTGTAGTTTACGGGATCAAAATTCACTAAGGGATCAAAATTTACTCATTTCTCACCAAAAGTTGGATTTCACGTTTTTGCTCTGTGCCATCAGGTAAAAGAGATGCTCTGTGAAGCATTATGCACCAGGTCAGAGCATTTGATATATTTTGTAGCTTCACAAAAACTGCAATATAAGCAACCAGATCTGTTGATTTGTGTGTAAGCTCAAGGAATAAAGCACAGCAGTAGATGTGGAAATAAGAATTGCTGTGTGCCTTAATTTTGTCACATTTAGTCTTGACAGAGACAAGAAAAACACCAGTGAAATAAGATATTTTGGATCTTTTTGGTTACCTTATCAAAAAGTTCTGTGCTGACAACAGATGGCAGCAGAACCGTACTCAAGAGCTTAATTTGCAGTGGGGAAGATGCCAGTACATCTGCAGTGCAAGCAGAAGAAGGCTGCTGTGTGCTTGAACACACTTCCCAAAACTGCTGTGAAAATGGTACCAGCCTTGAAGACACTTCAGCTTCTTCACTGACTCATTTTTCAGTATTAACATATCCTGCTTTTAGAGCACTGCTGCTGCACATGCCCTGCAGAACCCATCTTCACTGACTGGGTTGCAGAGCACCTGGCTTGCTCACCTGGCTATGTCCTCTTAAGGAACCATAAATTATGCCTTCTTCCACCAGGGCTTTTCTTGACCAGCCTGATCAGGCAGGCAATTCCAGAGTATTCCTTCTGACATTTTCATTAATTCAGTTCTGAGGTGTCAGAGTCCCTGCCTTGCATATTGTGTTAGGAAACAGGCATCTAAAATCAGGCCTGTCTGAGAGAGTCCTGTAGCAGAAAGCAGATGGCCTTTGGAGGTACAGGCATTATTTTCACCCTCAGAGAGAACAAACCAGCCAATTAGTACACAGCATCAGTATTTGTGTAGTCCTACTTTCAATTGTTAATTTGCAGTGGCTGCAAGTATGGTTTGATACCCTCACATGATGTTTTCTGTTTCTGTCCAGAAGTGCTATGGGTCTATGGCAGCCAACAAGTGCAAGGAGAATGAAATCAAACACTTCTGCAAATACCATGGCAAGTCAGTAGAAAGAAGGGTGGATCCCACAGAAGAAGAGGTAAGTAGGTACTTCTGGTTTTGATGAAAAGTTATTCCTTCCCTTGCTGTGGGGCATTTGTTATCCACCTGATGTCTGTGACACTCACACTCATGCTAGGATGTAGGTTGACCTCATGACATAAAAACACCTGGACTGATCCAAGCCTGTGTTGGGCTGGGGAAAGGCAGAGTCACTTCTTGTGGCACCAGTCAGTATCCTATCCATCCTTTTGTGGAGAGGAAAACTTCATGCACCTAAAGCTTCCCCTCTCTTGGCCTGGATTTGCATTGCATGCTGGATCATTAGAAAATAATTCTTTCTTTTTTTTTTCCAGAGGACTGAAGGTTCTGTAGAACCCAGCCAAGCTCAAACTTGCCAGCAAAGGGTAAGTGTATAGAATACTTTAGCTTTAAGTGGAGGTATTTGCTAGCATTTCTTTTATCATTTTGAATCAAGCTGGTTACAAATTGTGACAGATCTGGAGACCTTGATGGCACAGAAGATTAACCAGTGGTGCATTCACAATCAGAATACATGTATAGGCAAATGGCCATACAGAGACTTGCACAATTAGTTAGAAACCAGTTTCTCGCACTTGGCCCTCCCACAGGCTCTCTGAAGACTCCTGTTCCTCAAGGAGAAGAAAACTGGTTATATCTTTCAAAGCTTAACACCTCAGCTAATCAATTTCAGGAACTTCTAAGCCATAAAAGATGAGAAACACTGAATCTGTACCACAGTATTAATTAGTGAGAGCACCTTTGGAATAGGGAATGGGAATTCCCAGGTTTATGTTCAGAACTGTCTAGGTTGGTAAATTTCAGTTTTTTAAGACGTAAATTACAGCACAGTGGTTACTTGCACCAAATGAAACATTAGCTGGAATACTTTGAGTATGGCACTTGTTAATTTTTGTACTAATAGAAACATTTTACAGTTTTGTTTGCACTGCCTTCTATATATTTAGAAAAATCTTCATATATTTATATAGCAGCTGAAATGTAATTTTTTTACCCAAACACAATTATTTTGGGAAATCTAAGATAACTAACCAATAACATAGTTTTTTTTTTTTTCTTTTTGTTTTTTTTTCCTTAAAGCCCAGAAGACCTTCCAAAGATTTCTACATTGAAGTTTCTCCTGGCATCTATTCTGTCACAGCAATCTCAGAAGACATGGTGGAACAAACCCATGTAGTAGATGTCAATGCAGGACAAAGTGTTGATTTAACTTTTGTTCTGTGATATTTGTTGTTTCCTGGCAATAGCAGGAATAAAACATGAGGCTTTTTTTTTAATGCGTGTAATGAGCTATAAGTGTATTTTTCTTGTTAGCACTTTAATAGCACCTTCCTCTTTGGGACTCCATTTTTATGGCCTGTACATTTGTTTTCTAGTTAATGCAATTATATGCAGCCCACTTTGTACACTGATTTTTATAAATATTTGTACAGTGTGTGCCTTTTAAATCCAATTATGTGACTGTAATTCCAGATTCTTCTGCTCTAAACAATTAAAGATACAATCAGTGAAATAAAATATATGATCAAGCCTTTGTGATGACAGCGTCTTTTGTATTATCCTCAGAGAGAACCCCAATGTTCTCAGTGTCACAGTGTTGACCAGAGAGAGCATGATCCATGTGGTATGAATATGGGTGCACATTAGCTTCTGTAGGCTGGCACTGATTTTAGAGCAGCTGGCTCACAAGCCACTCTCCTATCTGTACTTTTGCTAGTTTGGTAAAGACATGAAATTTCATGAAATTCACTACCTAGAGCCCCAACTCAGAAATGTGCTGAAAGATGTGTCAGGTGTTCAGTCTAGGCACATGAGCTATTGATTCAGGTTCTGTCTCTTTGCAGACCATGCTAAACCCCTTTTCTAAGGGCTGTGGGGTACCCTAAATTCTCCAATTTACTGCTAAGCAACTGCACACTGCAGCTTATGGCCAAGTTCATATGCTTTAAACATGAGCAATCCCACCAACAAAACTCCCTGGATGCTTAACTTTGCCAAAGGACCAGATTCCATGTTTAGAACTAGTGATACGATCTGTCATCTTTTTGTAGCTGATAGTATTAAGGTTTCCATTCATTTTCATCATAATATAAAAATCAGTGGCTTGAATGCTAATCATTTTGTTGTTTGTATCTACAGTAGCAGGTCCTTTAGCCTCTGGCTACTTCTGCTTGTGCTTTATTCCCAAAAAAAAATCTTTCAGCTGTCAGCTTGTATTGTTTCTCCATTCCTCCTGGCTTTCTACAAACAGAAACTGCTTTGATGAATTTCTGTGGCTCACTCCAGAGAACTGTAGACAAATGGGAGGTTTATTGGACTCTTGCTGTGCATCTGTTCAGGCTTTTATTGCTCCTGCTAGCTCATCTGATCTCTCCAGAATTGTAAAGTCAAGTCCAAATAGTTAGGAATTTATTGTAGCACTTTGGAATAAAGAATGAGGATGCTCAAGTTTAATGTGGGTGAAAGCAGAGTTTCTCACTTATTAAAATTATATAGTCATCCATAAAGATATTCTGCTGAGACAGTACCTGAAGCAGAACTTGATTTGTTTAAAAAATATAACACTGATAGAGTAGAAGCAGTTTACCTGAAATTTCAGCCCCTGAACTTGATCAGTTGTAAATGTACTGAATTCTGGTTGATCATGTCTCTCTCTGCTTTGCTGCAAGTGAGCTCTGACAGTCTGTAACATCAGGTTTGTCAGCTCCAGCACAAGTCACTTCACATTTATCATCTGATGCTGCTTTGTATCTTTGTTCTTCTGATGCTGCAAAGCCTTCCTGGAGGACAGAAAACAAATCCCTCAGAAGTCTGGTCTTAAAAAAGCATCAGTGTCTTTGTTAACTGCTGCTTTGCTGGCTGTACCTCTGCCTTACATAGCTTTAATACTGGTCTATTTTCTGGGCTGGCACAAACTTTACTGCTAAAACACACAATTGGACAGCAAGACCAAAGGATTTTCAGAAGCTGCTAGGCTTTGATTAAAAACTTTTCTACTTCAGAAGTCAGGAGGATTTTGTTGATTGCAGTGGGGGGACATCAGCCCCCCAGAGAGTACCTCTGGGAAGCCTGTCCTCTCACTCCACCTGTTTGTGCAAGCCATTTCTGATGCAGCCTGCAGCATGTGATAAAACTGCTTCAGCTATCTCAGAGTAGCAATGGATCTTCTGGGTTTAAAATCACCAAGGGGCTATTTTACAGGAATAAAATTCTGTCATTATACCCTGTATTGCCATGTTGCATCCACTGCTGTGATTCATGCTGCTGCTTTGGGGCTGGAATGAAACAATTCTGCTTTCTTATTAGTTTTACCAAAAGGCAATTCATGTCATTCTGTGCACAGCTCTGCCACTGCTTACATAGAGCATGCCTGCCTGGAGCTCCATACTGGCCTGAAAATTCCTAGGAAATCAATTACAAAGGTGTGTGGTTATGTAACTATGATTATCTAACCAATAACGTAGAATAGAAAGTAGGAAACATACAGTTGATAAGTTGGCATCTGCTTAAAATGAATGAGTGCAATTGTGAGAATACAAGATGTATTCCTGTATATTCTCTGTTCACCAAGACATGTTATTAATGGATTCATCTCTAAACATGCATGTTTAGCACATTTCAAGTTTTACTTCGCAGTCAGCTCACAGTGCCAAGAGCATGAAGGTACAGAGAAGCTAATATCTGATTTCATGAATACAATTTATTAATTCTACCCTGATGCTGTTGTGCAGAGCACTGTTTCTGTTCATCCTTTCATCTTCCCCTTCTTCTTGTAAGTTTTTTCTTCATTTCTGTGTTTGCTTTTTTTAGCATTCATGTTCTGATTTTTTTCCAAGTTTTTCTAAAGCATGAGGGAAACCAGCCTAAAAACCAGGGTAGTGGTGCTATTCCTAGCTGTGACACAGTTTTCTTACCCTGTATCCCCCAGCTTCACAGCAGGAATCTGCTGTTTAAACTGCTTGCCTCTTATGAGGAAGAGAAGAAACTCAGCAAAGACTGTTTACCAAAGAATCTGCTTTTATCTCTCAGAGACAGAAATTGTGACTATCACAATTTGATAGGCAGAGCTCAGCAATTTTCCATGGATTTATCATAGGACTACTTTGGGTAGATATCAATGGGCATTTGGCAGGTTTCTGAATTGAAATCTGTATTATTGAATGCTCACATGGCTGCTGACATTTGTTTCCATTTTACCAAGTAGCTTCAGCCCTTCCTTAAGGCTTGGGGATTTTTGTTTGGGTTTCATTAGTGGAGAACTTTCCTACCCATCACAAAACTGGTGGATGGCCTCAGGAAGCAGTTACAAACAATGTCTTTTTCTTGCCAGGTTCCAAACTATTTACAAGAAGACTTTTTCCATCCAAACAAACCTCCTGCTTACATAACTACAGAATTAATACAGATTATCTTACCCTCAATGATGGCTTGAAATCTTGGTTTCTTAGGATTTTTTTCAGTGTAAGTTGCCCTCTGGGAGTCTGCTCAGTGGTTTCAAACATTGCATTCTGCTGAGCCGGGGCCACACTGGACATGTCCCCAGTGGAGATGACTTTGGATTCCAGATGGTCCTTTGTACAATTTCCAGGTCCTGAGAAGGAGTAAAATTGTATCTAAGAGTGAAACCAGAACTGAAATGGAGAAACATTCATTTCAGAAGAGAGAAAAATGCACTTTAAACCTGAAAGGAATTTTTTCTGGTTATTCTGAATGGGTGAACTATGCAGGTTAATGAAGATGTTAGCATCATAAAAGGCATAGAAAAATTACAAGAAACAGAGAGGAATATCTGTGCTTCCAAACGCAAGTCATTGTTCTGGTAGCTTTCCGTGGGATGAGTGGCCAAAAGAAGAGCCAGATGAGGCAGCAGAAACACTGGGGAGGGGGAAGAATTTTATCAGAGTCTGATGTGCAAATTTACAGTATTAATACAAATAACCTGCAAAGTGACTGCCCTGCCCGGAAGCCTTTTGGTTTTGTTCTCTCCACATCTGTTTCCCTGTGGGATTGTTTGAAGGTACCTGAATTACTGTAATGGGACTTGTGGTAGCTTCTTTTCCAGTATTCCCCCTCAGGTCTTGCAGAATTCCTTAGCCTGGGCTTTTCAAGACAGCTGGAGCCTGAGTTAACAGCACTGTCCCCCAGAGTACTCTTAGTAGGGGATGGCTTCAGGTCCCTCTCTGAATCAGAAGAGGGAGAAGATGTTGCCACAGCTGCAGCTTCTCTTTCTTTTGTGCCTTTCAGTTCTAGAAGGCCTGGAGAGAGCTCACTGCTGGACTCTGCCTCTTCAGCTTTGTCCTGAAAGACCAGAGACCTGGAGGGAAGAGGCCACCAGGCACCAGCACAGGGATGGCAGCAGCAGATGCACCTTCCCCAGGCTGATGAACAGCAGACACCACCAGCACAGTGGTGGTGGAAATGTGGCCAGCAGGGAGAGCAGAGAAAGCAGTGCTTGGCAAGGCTACACAGAGCACAAACAGGAATCAGGGCTGCCTTAGGACTGCAGGAACAAATACAAGAGTTAGAGTCCTGGCTTGGTCTGGGCTTCAGCCTGCTGGTGAAGGGCATGTGGATCATCTCCACAATCCTCTCCCACAGGCTAGGAGGGATCCACAGAGCCACACCACGGGGGAGTTTCACTTGCTTGTCATTCCAGAAATGGACTGTAATTTCTTCATCTTCTGAGGCTGTTAAGAGAAAAACCAAGCAGCCTTAAGCAGCTGGCCTGCCTGGGCAGTGCAGACAGACAGATCAGGCTTTGCAGCTTTATGCACTTTCTACTCCTGTCAAGAGGCAGGATCAACTCTTGCCCTTCTCTAACACCTCACCACAGTGTCACAGAGGTGAGTGGGCAGCCTGGACACCATGGCTAAAACAACAGGCCTGGCAGCATCTTTCCTCCCAATCTGTCATCAGAGGAACAAGAAAACTGTGACGGTAATTTTTGTTGTTGCTGCCAAATTTAGCAGTACTGCTCTGAGAATAGTATTTTGGTAAGTCAGTGGAGCTTGACTGTCAGACACAGGGAAAATGAATGAGCTGCTGAAATCTCCTACGTCTGGGTGATAAAATCACCCCCAGATGTACCATTTGGTACAAATGTGAGTATTTAAGCTCAGATGAATGCTTCCTGGAAGTTGTCTCACTTGTGTCTGTCATGAAAAGGCCACAGTCCTGAACATGGCAGCCACAGCCTTGTCCCAGCTACACCCATGGACAAAGATGATGACATTTTTATGGGTCACAACCTCCTTTGGGTCACACTGGTGTGCTTACACACAGATATCCATCAGCCCCTGCAAGCTTGGAGCAACACTGAGCTGTAGTCTGTGCTCTGTTATTTCTCTGGCAGCAGCACCCTGACAGGAGTTTATCCTCACTGGTGCTCCAGAGGAACAAGAGGAGGAAGAGAGCAGCACTTTTCTTACCTCGTAAGGGATCCCTTGTCTCAATGCCTCTGAGGACAGTTCCTGGGCCATACCTGGCCCTATCTGGCTCCCAGGGTGCCAGCACTCTGTCTCCAGGGAGCAAGGAGTGCTTCATCCCATTCACATATTCCAGGATGTCATCCTGTGCTGTTTTTTGCACACACACTGGATGCCTTCCACGTGACACTAGTGGTTTGGCAAACTCTACCAGGAACATGCCTCTTTCACTCTGTTACCAGGAACAAAATAACAATTCCACTGAAAAACACTCCATAATGTGCCAGGTAATGCAACTTTTGCTGGGAGACCATCCTGGGCCTATATGACTAGGGCAAAACAAGCCTGAACAGCAGCTAGGGTGTGTGATGTTAGTTCAGCATTGACAGCCCAAAAAAACCTCTGTGAGGCTCACCTGAAAGCAAGATGACTGAAGCCATGTGTTCAGATTCACTGCCACTAGGATCTGTATTTTCTTTCCCAAGAGAAAAAGCTATAGACAAGTGTATTTCACAAACCATGCTGTATGTGCCAAGGAACAGGGGACACTAAAGCCATTCAGACCTGTTCATCACTCATGTCCAAGTCCTTCCTCATTACATACAACACTAGCTCTGCTTCTTGTGGAATTTTTATTTTCTGTTTTCTATTTTTCTATTTTTTTTTCTATTAAGGCCTGTCAAGAGGCTTTCCATCAACAATGAGATTATGTACTTCCCTGTTCTTGAGAAAGAACAGGCTCCTTTCTGTGTTTAAGTTTGAAGTGCTAACAAACCAATGAATTAAAGCTTTCACTACCTTTTCTGGAAAGACCCTGAGCCTGGTCTGTGGCTGACTCAACCTGGACATATGTACATAAAACACAAACCCTTTGCCTGTACTGTTTGTTTCTCTGTCTACACACAACAGTAGCCTCTACACTGCTGGCAGCAGAACTGGGGCTGAGTCAGCCTGGCTCAGTTGATCAGCACCAGCACAAGGCTGCTGCCCTGGTGAGCTGTACTCTAATCTCATCAAAAACTGAACCAAAACCTGCTACACTGAAGAACCAAAAACTGCTACACTGAACTCAGGTGGTGTGTGAAGGCTGCTCCCTGTTACACATGCCCCCAGCTACCACAGAGCAACCATCACTCACCTCTATCTCCTCTTTTACTGTACCAGGGTAATAAAATCCATCTTGTTCCCCTCTAGCCAGCACAGGCACGTTGCTGTCCGTGCTCCCTGATTCCCCCAGGCTCTTCCATCCTGGGCCAGGGGAGGGGAGGCAGTGGCTGATCCACTGGCACCTTGAAGAAAAGAAAATGGATCAGCCCTGAAAGAAATAGATTCTGCAGGTCATGAAAAAAATCATCTTGTAAGGTTTAAGAATTGGAACATTCCACCTCATTTTGTAGCACTCCCACAGGCCAAACAGTGTGGGAAGAAATAGAAAACTTGCTTGTGCTGGGATAATTCCTTGATCCTGGGAAAAACACATCAGTGCCCAATTTTACTCAGATTTCTTTGCTTTGGGGTTTACAGGAAGTGAGCCAGGAGCATGCTGGAACCCTGGGCCAGCATTACTTGCACCAGCCCCTTTGCTGTTTACCTGGCAAGACAATGCAACCTTTCAGATGAGGGGAAAAGATCCATCTGCAGCACAGAGCACAGCATAGGTGCACTCCAGAGTGCTGGAGCTGATGGTTTACACTGCAGCATTCAGGGAACAGCAAAGCAGAGAAGTAAACAATAAAGCTGCTGGTTGATGACAGCTTCTAGTTCAAAACTGGGAAAATAATCCCCTGTCACAAAGCATTAGCAACATTTCGTGGAAGATGACTGCTAAGGCAAGATGCTTTTATTTATCCCAATAATATTAAAGGAATGTTTCTTTGACAGGAGGCTTACTCAGGTTTTGCTCTTCATAATCTCCAAGGTAGCAAATAACTTTAGTTAATACATTTAAAAAAGTGCCAGTGCAGGGGTGGGAAAGCTCAAATGATGTTCAAGCTGCTAATTTACTAATCTGATACACCAGCCTGGTTTATCCCTTTAGATAAACAAAAAGCAAATGACAGACTTAAGCAGGAACTTTATTTTACCTTTTGGGGTCAAGGTGCTCAGCAATCCAGGCAGGATACATAACAAAAGAGCCCCTGCAGCAGGGATTAATTGTGGATATGACAGTGGAACATGAAAACTTGTCCAAAACTGGCCTCACACTGCAATACCTGTGACCCCTGGGCAGGGACCCTTCCAAACGAGCCATACTTGGAAAAGCTGTTTCCTGCAGGACTCGGCTGTGACCTGCTGGAAAAAAATGAGACAACAAGCAAGTGCTGGCCAGTGTACCTCAAGAACACAGTAATTTTGATTAAATGTTTATTTTGGTTTAAAAACACTGAATTCAAAATATTCAGACTGGCATTTAGCCAGATGAGCCCACATGACTGACTTCAGTGATCTTCACATACCCAAATCTTAACCTGGAAAAAAACACTCAAGGAAACTATAAATGCTGTGAAAATCCCCAGGAAAATAACTTTCACCTCCCTCCAACATTTTTTTCCTTCTTTGTTTCCAGCTCTCTTTTCTTATACATACATTCTTCCTTTAAAGCTTTCTTGTACAGACCCAGCCAAACCTTCCCTGTTTTACAAGCTGAGACACAAATTACAGCTGAAGTTGACAAGCTGAGTAAACGTGACAGGTTTTGAACTTGATGTTAGATTACATTTCCCTGTTATTTATTTATAATGATGTATTAAGAGGAAATATTTTGATCTTTCAGCTGTCCTGTCATGTTTTATTAACAGTAGGATTATGGCTTGCAACAAGAAAGAATGAGATGCTCAGATGTGACAAGTGATACCTATTCAGAGGCTGTCACTGTAAGATCAATGATGTGATTCTATCTCTGGTAATTTCAAAAGATGTAGTAGACAAGCTTCCATTAATTTTTTTCTTTTTAAACATTGCTTAGAAACACTTATGATAACACTTGCATGGAAATTCAACAACCTATAAAATTTAAGTGCTTAATTTATTTTACAAAATGCAGTTTAAGCACTCATGTTTAGATGATATTTTGTCTCTTATCTAAGAAATATGATCTGGAAGACTTTTTTATGGAGATTCCCAGATAGATACATAATCTCAGAAAACTAGCACAGCAAATCCAGCAAGAAGAGTGGATTAACTGCTGAAAAATTAATATTTAAGTCAGAAAATTAGCACAATATACCAATTTATTTCATAACTGCACAAATTGCTGTTATAAACCAAAACAAGATGGAATCAGTAATACTTTGCAAAGAAAGGCAACTATCACTTTACACTAAAGCACATTTTAACACCCCTGTTTCTAAACCAGTGCACTGACAAAGGCAATCATGCTGCTTTTTCTGGATAACTCCAAGTACTTTGGCTCAGCAGTATTTTACACTTACCAGCTATAGGTAACAATACACCACCTGGATTTAGTCTGGATGCAGAAATGTCACCCTTTTGCCTGTTGGACACAGAGGGCCTTTTGCTGCCAGTGTTTCCCAGTTGCTAGGGAGGTTGCCACAGCTGTTACTCCCAGGGCTGGACATCCTGACCTGACTGGTTAAAGCCCAGCAGAATGTGACTTCAGAGAGGACCATTTGACTGCCACACATTCGCTCGATTTTCAACTCCCCATGGATCTCCTGCACCTCAGGGAAAGAATTTTAAGAGAGCTCAGTGTCCTCTAGGCTTCTGCCTATGTGATTGCAGGGCAATAACCAGCATCAGTTACAGTTCAGGTTAAGGAAAATCTTAAAAAAAGCTTACCACCACAGGGTGTGACAAATAAACATGTTTGAAATGTGCACAGAAAGGTTGAAGCTGAGATAAACCAAGGTCAAATCACTTTACAACTTTCTCCTTTCACAATAAGGGGGAAGGATTAATGAATTCTACCCCTCTCTTACAAAGTGCCTATCAAAAATATGTCATATTATAATGCAGAAACCTACCTGTTAATCTCTGCTGAGATCCCTAATTTTCACATCCTCCATAAAAGAAAGACAAAGAGTTGATATTTGTTGATTTTTTTTGTTTGGTTGGTTTTGTTTGTGGTTTTGTGGGGGGAGGAGGTGCTTGGAATACTTGTCTTTTTTTAGGCATGTTTCAATTCACTGCTACAAAAACAATGTAACTGCAGTTAGGGAGAAGGATACATCACCTGGGAAGTCTGTAACCATTTTTTTGTACATTCAGCTGCACAGACAGCTTAAAAATTCTCATGCTGTCAGCAGAATTATTTAGTATCAATGATTCCCTTACACAGAGTAAAGGTTAAGACATTTTACTGGTTATGAGCTAATCTCTCTTCATCATCTTCACACAGTTCTATTTCATAACACTTAACTGAAACCATCAGCTGTACAGAGGAACAGACTGGGAGGTTGGGGAAGACCACTCCAGACCTCAACCATTATTAAAGTCCAAAAAAATTTATATCGCAGGTTATTTTTATGATGATGACTAAAAGCTTGCCAGTCCTCTTTATAGTATTTTGTAAGCAGTCCTAGTAATTTTTAAGGGCACTGGCATCTGTACAACAATCCAATTTTCAATAGAAATTACTTAATGTCAAAAAGTTTTCAATGTGATTAAAATGTTCACTAATAAGAAAATTATGGAACAGCACTCACAAAACTTTATGCTCTTCTTGTGTTCAGTAACTGTACTTCAGAGAGCTCCTACCCTACTCTATTTTCTCACTTTTAAACTAAATTATCCTTTCTTTTGGCATCTAACAACCCTCCTTAGAACCTTTAAAAAGGCATTTTAAAAGAAACACTGGCAATTAGAGTGAATATTTTAAGAAAGTGCATGTGAGAGTAAACCAACAACATGACAGAAAATGAGAAGAATCTCAGTCCCATAAGCAGAGAGATTTTATTTTAAAGCATGCAGGTTGTGATGATACATACAGTTACTTCACACATATAGGTGTCACATTTTTAGCTTGCTGACAAATTTAGAAAGTTGTTCTGATTTTCATGAATTAACTTAAGTCATTCAGCTGAGATTTTCCCAGTTGTCCCTCTGATATCTAAGTGTAGTAACTACCAGCAACGTTAAAGCTCTTGTGTGGGCTGATACTGACGTGTGCCACGATCTGCTCCCAAGAAGTGCCAGGAACACACACGTCACTGACACAGTGGCTACTACATTCCCAGCCAGGATGCCTTTGGCTGGCTTTGGAACGCTTCAGATGGAATTCAAAAACTGGGTTGGTTTGTTAGTGGCTTTAGGTGCTTGGTTTGGCTCCGTGACACCTTTTCCTGCCACCACGGAGTCAGTGCACAGCACAGACTGCAGGTACCTGATGTATTTTATAGCAGCACGGAGGGTCTCCACTTTGCTGAGCCTTTTCTCCAAGTACTCCTTGGGCAGGTGGTGCCTCAGCTTGGCATAGCCTTCATTGACACACTTAACACGCTGCCTTTCCCTCTCATTCCTCTTCCTGATGAAAGCTGACCCATACTCACTTTTGTGGAGACTGGAATGGGGCATTTGGTAGGGAAAGGGGCAGGGCTCACTGTAGAAGGTCTCTGTGATGAGATGCTCCGACATGAAAGGAAGGAATGCCAAATCTTCGGCCAAAGGGACCTGGTTTGGTGTTTCTGGGTACACGTGAAACGTGACCAGTGGGTCTGCACAGAAAGGCCTTGCCAGCTGGATGTGCTGAGCCTCAGCACAGATGAGGTTACAGTAGCTTTTGCCATCCATCAGGTTCTGCATTTAGCCTGGAAACACATAATTACAGAATACTTAAACCAACTCACACTAACAGTATAAAAAACTCACCTGGACTTACCAACTCCAGGCCTTGCTGACATTTTCCAGAAGAGATTTTTTTAATGTATTTGTGACATTTCAGAATTATGTCAGAAGATCAGCTAGAACAAGACATACCATTTGAAAAGTACATGAAAGTGCAAGTCAGTCACACTGATTAAATTAATACACAACAGATATTAATATAAAGCCACTAAAGTTTCCTGAAGGCAAGAGAAAGCAGTCTCCTTCCACCTCAGCTTTAGAAATTAAGAGACTCTACCTACATGCATTCCACATAGGTCTAGCTTGCTCCAAACCCACCAAAACTTACAAACAAATAAAGCAGGCCAACACCTGAGGCATTCTCCCCACTTCCTTCCCATCCCTGAAAAAAACTACATCTACAATTCCAGTAAAAAACTCCCTGTTCATACCAAAGAGCCTTCAAAGACAGATTATTTTTCTCTCTATTCACTTGATTCACTTCAATATATCATCTTAACAAAATGGAAAACCTGTGCAGAGAATGGATTTCAATCTTAATTCCATGTCTGTCAGGTATTACATCCACTCACACAAAGATTTACAAGAAGTTTAGAGAGACAAGAGAATTTCCACTAAATCTAACACCTCCTTGGGTCCTCACATTCCTTCTCCACCTACCTGCAGATTAAACACAGACATGAAATACTAAAAACAATTCTCCTGCTAGAAATTAAATACTAAATATTTCATATTTATGAAATGGACACTTCATTAAAGGAAAAATGCATGTCCTAGTAATACAAAGAAGGGATGGCACACAGCTGTTGGGGGCCCTGCTGGAAAGCTGTAAGTCTGACTGGCCCACCCTCACACCCTCTCTTCAGAGGAGCATTAAGCAGGTCTAACTACTCAAATCTCCCTGACACATTTATCACAAAGATACTCTTGCAGTGGTTTACAAGAAGCTGCATTATGGTGTCTTCCCAATATGATTATTCAAACAGCTAAACATCAGCCTAACTGCTGAGAATGTAATGACTGTTACCTAATAGCTTCTTTAAATACATTTTAAATAACCAGCTAATTTTACAAAGAACCGCTCTGAGCCACCCTCACAGGTTGCAACCGATACTTGCCTACATAGAATAGATCCAAAAATGCTCTTACTCACCATCCACTTGTACATCCATACACTGTTGTCCAAAGCACTTAAGAGTCTACTGAATCCTCTAAAATGGAATCCACACCTGAACATTAAACTACATTACCAGAAACTGCTGGATTCCATACTCACAGAAACCTGGCAAAGCTTCAGATGTTCCAATCACAGTTCCATAAAATAAATCCTTCACAAGGATATGGGGATAATGTAATGTTTTCTAATGACTTCATACCTACCACATTTACACAGAGAATATTTATTGGTATGGACCTATTCTCACAACATATTGTATCAAAATGCCTCTGTATGCAGAGTTGTCTCTTTTTCTAATGCACACAGATTTCAAAACAGAAATCCTGTAAGTGAAGAATTAATTTATAGCTGTTAGGCATGAGTGGGAGTCCCATGCATCTTAAAAGGTACTTCTGTAGGTAGGCTAAAAGCATGAACACACACGGAAATTCTCTCGTCTCTAAACTTCTTGTAAATCTTTGTATGAGTGGATGTAATACCTGACAGATGTGGAATGAAGATTGAAATCCATTCTCTGCACAGTTTTTCCATCCTGTTAAGATCATATATTGAATGCTGCATTTCACATTAATACGCATGCAAAAAACTCACCTATTTTTACATATGTGAATATACACTCCTCATAAAATGAAAATAGTAGACAGTCAACTTTCCCTTTTCTACTTACACAGGTTGGCTTATTGCCAAAAAAAACCTTTCTGCTGCAAACAACTTAACAACACTGAGAAAGAAAAGTCTGCCACATAGCAAAAAAAAAAAAAAAAAAAAAAAAAAAAAAAAGGGTACATCACTCTCGAGAAGAAACCACAACCAACAGAACCCCTTAAGAAGAGATACTTGCAGTATTTGTTACTTAGTACCGACACATCTGCTGTGTAACAAGGTTACATAAAACAGTTACCTGCTGCCTCAACACCTGCACAAAGTGTTAGGAACATTTTCCTGTTAGACTAGAGACTCACCAATCCTCAGATGAAAGTAAAATCCAGGGAAACAAGATGTGTTGTTTAAATAGTGATGAATACCTGAAAATATCTGAATGATATTAAAAAAAAAAAAAAGATGTTAACGTTACATTTTTTCTTATACCTTATTAAATAAGAGATCACATTAAACAGGATTCATTAAAAAGCTATGAGAACACTGTTAGTAAATGGCTGGTAGAAGTGATTTACAAGAACATTGATCTTCAGTGAAGATCTGTGGCTAGATACAGCAATGTGCAAGTCTCTTACCTGAATTATGTAGCTTGTTCCACAGAGTGAATGACTGCTGCAATTTATAGTCAATTGACAACATGCAAAGTAGCTTACAGTTAGATCTGCTCATTTCTGGTTGGGCTTTTCCACCCACACCACAGCTATGATGGCAACAAAACTTGGCATAAAGGGCTAGAAATTTTGAAACTGCTATTGAACACATCCAGACTACCTGAAAAAGTAATCAGGAATGTGGTTTGTTCACTTCCTGTTTGCCTTCTGCTGCAGACTACTACAGTATAGTAATGAAAATACAAAGCAGTATTTTCATTTATTGGCATTTTGTACTCTAATATCTAAATAGAACAATTGGCTAGAAATTAGGTAAACATTCACTGTCAAGGCATAAGCAAACTAATTTCCATAGCTTCATTTTAAACACAGAAAAAGCCTGAATTTATTTTTCTTGATGTGTCAATCCTTGTGCATTTTTTTTTTTTAATTTAAAGCAAGAATCCTGTGAATCCACCAATTCACCACCTGCTTTAAATCACTCCAGGTTAAGTCAGGTTTGGAAGTCTACAGGACAGACATGAAAACAAAGCCCTGTACCGGGCTGTCCCCCAGGCACGGGCTAAGCAAGCCAAAACTGCCCCCAGAAACAGAGTGTTCATCCATGGACCACCTCCTTCCACACTGAACTGAAAACTGTCTCAATAATGCAACTATATATGCACAGCTACACCTGAGTCAGGGATTAAAAACTTCTTTCAATTAACAATCTGATGAGCCTTTCTTTACGTAGTCACTGAACAAGTGCACAATTCTTCTCTGAAATGTGTCTAGAGCACTTTTACAGATGGAATTTACATGCAGCATAATGAGGGAGAAAAATGATGACAAACTGATAATGCAGAACTATTTTTCAAAAATCACTTTTATCTTTAATTGTTACATTCCAAAGGGGATATATGAAAGTTAGTCATCCAGCAACTGTATAACCTCTGAAGAGAGATGAGTACAGAGTCACAGATAAAAAAATACACCTAACTCCCAAGATGACAGGTGCTAGAGAAAGTATGTGCCTTACACCATCAATCCAAACAAATGCAGGAAGGTTCTTATAATAAATATTTTATCTTATACTAACTCCTGAGACTTTACCCATGAAAAGAAAGGGAAAGATTTTATAAGAGCTATCATACACCTACAATATATTAAGCTGTTAAAGCAAAATAGAACAAAATGTCAACACTGTCTTGAATGTGCACTGCATTTGAATTTATCTACATCACAGTACTTGAAATATGCAGCTCCAGGAGTCAGTGTCTACTTGTGTTTTGCCTCAAGTCTGCAGACATCACTTGCCATACAAGCATCTTGAAAGTACGAGTGCAAGAAACCAAATGAACACAGCCAGCAGGGTTTCATTCTCCGAGACCAAAAACTACACTGAAAGATTTTGATTTCCAGTACCTAGCATCAATCAGCAGAAAATCCAAGTATATTTACAAAAGGTCTTTACATAAAGTGATTAGTGAGTTGCAAGTTATTACTGTGTTCCCAGGTACTTTTTAACCACATAAATAGTAGAGAGAAATATATAGTTAAAAACCACCATAAAGTCACAACTGTAAATAATGTACCACAGTGGCAACCCAAGGTATCTTAGGGTTTGTTTTCTTTTCAGTTTTGTTAGTAAAAGCCATTTGAAAACATAAAGATTTAAGCTTTTGGTTAAATAATGTGTTTAAACTCCTTCCACTCCAGTACATCCCTTCAAAGTTCAAATACTTCTTTAATTTGTTGTTTGTTTGTTTTTTTTTTAATCAAAAACAAATCATTCAAGAAAACTCTTCTGAATTGGCAGGATCAGGAAGACTTCTGTCAGCTCTGTGCACTAGAGCACATCCCTGGGGCTCCTTCCGTGAGCCCCACTTAGCTGAGCACGACGTGCCGGTCGAAGACAGACTTGCGCTGCTCCTGCACCTGGAGCTTCCAGCGCTGCTGCGCGTACTCCACCTTGTTGAGCACGTTGGCGCGGCTGCGCGAGCGCGCCAGCACGTCGTGGGCGTTGGCGAAGGGCTGGTGGTCCTGCAAGGGCAAAAAGCCACCGTCACTGCTCACAAGTTCCAGCCCCAAGTCTGCTAGGGTCCTTACATTCCACACCATGTGGGGGCTGGTTTGGTTTTGTCTGTCTTTAAGGTAAACGAGATGTCCCAACAAGATGGTCAGTAACAATGACCAAGCAGGTTTTTGAATTGTTGGAACTGTACTTCCATTTCTCACTGACAGGAACTTCAGCAGATTTCCCAAACAGACCACACTTCATTGTACTGTCAATTACCTGCTGCCCAGGTACGCTGCAGGATCACAGCAGTCCTGCATCCATTTGCAGCCCAGAGCAGACCGAAGCACCCCCATGACTGTGGTGAATGCACTTCACAACTGAATTGGGGTCGGTTCCCTGCCAGCTCCTGGCCATTTCTGCCAGGCAGTTCAGGATGTTCACACACAGCTTCTATATCAAACCAACACACTCTGATGTTTACCAAACTAAGCCTATTGTGCTGAGCTGTCTGAAAGCACAGTGTCAATACAGCTGTTTGAGTGACAGAGCTCAGCAAGGGTCCAGTACTTGTTTAATGTTTACTCTCTCTGTTTTCTAACAGTACCTGCAAGGCTTTATTTTCTGCTAGCAAATATAGCCAAGTTATAAACAGTAAGAGTTGGAACTGAACTTCTCATTTGGCTATTAAACTGTCTGTACAAAGTCATGCTGCTAAAGCTACATCAGAAAGCATCATATGCATAATGAAAAATAACATAGTTATTTCCTATATTAAATAACTGTCTTTTTGTACCCCTACATTTCACATTCTGGTTTTTTTCCAGAACATTTTTGAAGACATTTATATCAATGGATACTTTGTGATATGACTGTGCAGAGCAGCTCAATGACAACTCTCACCTGTACACAGATTATCATTAATGATATCTATAGAAATGACTGCTCTGAGTCCCAAAACCACAATGACCATTAAAGAAATATTCCCATAGAGAACAACAGAACAGTCCCTGATGAAAAGAGCTATCATCTCACCAAAAAAAATATACAATTGGATATATCTATAATGGGCATTTAACAGGAGACAGGTCACTTCATTCACAGGGGAAAAACATCATAATAGCAACACATAGTTTGCTACAGGACAGTCTAGATCATACTGGCCTTCCTGACAAATAAGATTCTCAGCTCCAAGGCTAGATACTGTCAATTTCTATGTAGACACTAAGAGGAAAAAAGAATTTAAGAGGAAAGAGGACCAAGGAAGTGGCTTACATTCATCAGTTGCCACTGTCACCAATGGGCAACAAGAAAGAGTGAACATACTGCCTTGAAATTCAGCCACAAAATCCATGGACATGGTAGTTTTGAAGCGTGACAAGAATATCTCAAGAACTTGCAAGAGGGAAGGCAAGAATGCGGATAATTCGTAAGGGACCTCAAATTATGTTATGTTCACAGAAAAACTACAGCAAAACATAACATTGGTTAAGATGGACCCAGACTTTGAGGTAAATTCATTCTGCAGTTAACCTGAACTCTGCCATGGGATTTATTTCACTTCTTCCACCTACAATCAAAAGACTAAATCACATTTGGAGGCACTAAGATAATTTATCTAAGCTACACATTTTTTTGAGATATAGCATACAGCACAAGATCACTCAATTCAAGCTGGAGCTGCCCAATTTGCTATAAGAATGCACACAGAGGAAGACTCATTCAAATACTTCCTTTAAAAAAAAAAAAAAAAAACAAACCTCCTAGAGGTGACCTAGAAAATCTTGCTTTGTCAATACAAAGACAGTTGAAACATGTCTACATGTAATACACAGGGAAGTTCAGAAACAGTGGGACAACCTTCACTTAAAAAGGTGTTTCTGTTTGCTAAGGGAATAATTAAGTATTCAAAATCAGCATTTTCTTAGATAATCGTTTTTATCAGCTATGCTTTATGGACCCTGATTTCATAACAAAAATATGGGATTGTTACCCAGTGCTAGAGACTGGAAAGGCCAGTAACAACAGAAAATCCTGTCACTATGGACTGCTACCCTTCTTCTCCCAAAAAAAGCTCTTCTGACCTGTTGGAATACACTGTCACATTTCAATTTTTGGCTGTACTACTAAGAAATTATGTCATCATCCATTACTATTCTGCTTCATGATAGCAATTTCTTCTTGAAGTTTTAGCATCAATAAACTCCAGTTGGAACAACAGAAGATGCAATCTCCATACTTTCTTTTTGTAGAGGGTAATCTAAGCAGTAAACACTTCCCATAAAAATGATGCCTGGCAAGACTGGATCATTAACTCCAAAAAACCTGTACTCCTGTATATTCTTACCTCCATTCCTACACTGCTTCTTTTCTGTGCCTAGAGCCGGCATAACTGAAGCAGTTCTCACTGCTTTCCAGCCCAGTGAAAAATGAAAGAGTGGCTTCACAGAAGTCATCACACACCTTTCTTTTCCTCTCCCAGCAGGAAAAGCATTTACACTGACTGGCAAAAAAAGCTGCTCACCCCAAATAATTAATTCTCAACAAACCATCCCAATTTTCATGATAACCAAGTGCACAAAGGCTCTGGTGAACTCACCCCAATGTCTTCATCACTTTGGATGAGCTGTGAATGTCCAAGGAGGCGCCTCTTCAGGATGGGTTCCACCAGGGTAAGGTACACCATGTACAGAAGAAGCAGGCCCAAAATGGACAGGTATATGATGATTGTCACCTACATAATGCAAGCACAGTTTATGCCAAGATTGTGACACTTCCCCCCACGTCTCACCACAGGAAGCAAAGACCAAAAGATGAGTGCAGGCAAAGTTTGATCTTTGTTAGTGTCACCAGATGATTTAAAACCCAGAAAGACAGGAAAACTAACTACAACATGGTATTAAAAGGGTTTAGGGCAGCTTGAAACGGTAAGACCTTGCAAAGAATCTTAAGCTATGCCTCTTTAAACAATTCAGTGTTTAACTCTCACTTCCACCGAGACAACTGTCCAACCTGCTATTAAACAGGTGACAAATCTGGGGCATCCCCCTCTGATCTCCCATTGTCTAGCACAGACCCGAATTCAGTCGTCAAGCAAAACAAAACACCAAACTTCTAAAATCCCAAAATAAAGTAGTCTGTGTTGTCAAAAACCAAAAGACATTCAGCAGTCTATTCACAGCAGTCCAGGCCTCAACAGCTCCAACAGGACAAGAATGTGAAGAGCACAGAAAACATCTGTTAGTACAAACATAGATAAAGAAAATTTACAGTAAGAAATAAGGCAGCTATGCAATGAGAGGCCCCCTGAAATAATAAGAAAAACAGAGCCCAAAGCTTGATAAAATGTCATAGAACACTCAGAATTTTAGCAAGGTGTAAAGTCTGATCTCAGAAGTGGAGATCTTCAATAAAGGGTCTCTTCTTCAGCTAAAGGTTGATGCTATCATTACTGCTCAAGATTGTGAGCAACTACTACAAAAAAAGTTACATTTTAGACTGCTTTAGAACAGTTTTCCCTTTAAAAATACCATTTCTCTAAAAGACAATAGACATATTTACTAAACAGTTGAAATCTTTAATACATGCCAACAGAATTACACTTCTTACCTTAATTGTGACTGAGCTTCTCTCCTCATATTTGCACTCACAACGTAAACAATAAGCTTCTACATCAGGTCCAGGGACAGGCATAGGCTCCACCACATGGAGACAATCACTGAG